CCCTCTGGGTCAGCACACTGCAGGAGTATGCTGGGTTGCAGGCGTACTCAGTGGCTCAGTGGCCTGAGCCAGGGCAGGGCTCGGCGGTCTTCCTCCACAAGGCAGAGGCCGGGAGGCACTGAGGTGCGCAGGCACGCCTAATGGCCCAAGCAGGGACAGAGCTTGGGGCTCTTCCTCCGCGCATCGGCTTCCTCCCTCACCTCTTGTTTTCTGCTCTTCTTGCCATTGCTGCCTCCATACCTGGCAACCCAAGTTAGGCCACTGCAGGGCTCATGCAGGGTGTCGAGCCTCGCCCAGGCCTCTAGGTATTCATGCTGCAGTACAGGGCGCCTGCTAGATGTTCTGCAGTTTAATTCAATACTGCATTGCCTAGAGGGTCACATCTCTGACAAGTTAAGGGCACAGCCTTTCCATGCCAAAGGACTGTCCCAAGTGAGCTTTCAGCTGCTATCTTTATCTTTCCAGATAACCTGAGATCATTTTCTGAGGTGCTTCTCTGACACCTAGTCTTCTTGAGGCTAAATCTTGGCTTCCTGATTTATTCTTTCTAAACTGAAAGGCCAACATTCACATCACATTTATGTAGTTCCTAATTTGGTGTTTTCCCTGATGCTGGGATCAAACCCAGGAGGCAAGTACTCTACCAGTAAGCCAGTCCCCCTCATTTGACTCTTTTTTCTTTCTTTCTTTCTTTCTTTTTTTTTTTTTTTTTTTTTTTTTTTTGTGGTACTGGGGATTGAACTCAAGACCTTGCACTTGCTAGGCAGGCGCTTATGCCACTGAGCTAAATCCCCAGCCCCTCCCTCGTTAGACTCTTAAACAATTATTATAACCAATTTGCTATTTTATTTTAGTTTTTGAGACAGGGTTTCACTGTTCAGTTCAGGCACTTTGTAGCCCAGACTGCCTTCAAACACACAGTCATCCTCCTGCCCCTGAGTGCTGGGATTACAGGCTTGTGCCATAATGCTCAGCCCCAGTCTGCTTTTAAATTTTCCACTTCTTAAACATGAATGGAAAATCAAGGATTTCTACACACTTGAAGAAGTCTGGTAATGGGAAAAATAAACATCAAGGTAAATTATACCAATCATGGAAGAAATAGATAATTCAGCAAACAAAGCAGCTAGTATCCATATGAAACATTCAAGAAGTTTGCATTGGATAAGAAATTTAGATGTGAAAAAATGGAACAGAAGATGAGAACTGTGGGAAATTGGTGAAATTTTAAAATATTAAAATATTGGAAAATAAAAGAGGAAATCCAGTAATTAGGGCAAAACCACTAAGAATATGTGTGAGGAAAAAAAGAACATAAGTGACTGACTAAATTCCCACCTAACAAGTGAGAATAATCCCCCAAAAAGACAGAAATTGGCAAAGAAATGATAGAAGATAACTTGAGAGACTGAGGCAGGAGGATCTCTATAAATTTTACCCCCCCCCACATGATGACTTCAAGGGTAGCCTAAACTACATAATAAGACCCTGATTCAAATAAAACAAAACAAAAACCCTATACCTAGACACAATATTTGGGAATTTTATAACCTCACAGTTAAAAAGAAAATCCTAAAAGATACCAGAGTAGAAACTTGTCACCATCAAAGAAAAAGACACTAACAACATAACAACCAGTCTTTACCAACTTCAGAACAAATAGAGTTCACCAAAAAAAAAATGTGTGTACATGAGGCTGGGGATTTAGCTCAACGGCATAAGCACCTGCCTTGCAAGTGTGCAGTCGTGAGTTTGATCCCTGGTACTGATAGAAATGAAAAAGACAAAAAAAAATGTGTGTACACTTTAGGAAAAGAAAAACTCACATAATTTTTTATACCAGGAATCAAACTCATGACCTTACTCTTGCCAGGCAGGAATTGTGCCACTGAGCTGTATCCCAAGCCCAAAACTTATATAAATATTTTAATACTAAATGTATTCAGACATCATGAGATTAGTATGTTACCTTTTTACCTTTGGCCTCTACAATTACAAAAGGCGCTCTCAGTGGAGTCGACCACCTTCCTGACATTTATTACTACAGCAAACCCGTGTGTGGTCACCTTAGTCACTGAGATGGCTGCACACACATTTTTGATTTCTCCTCTCAGGGCCGGCAGTGCAGTGGGTTTTCTGTGATGCGTGGCATCCTCTAGCGTCTCTCACATGAGGGTGACCCCATCTGTGGAGGAAACAGTGTGCCATTTTCTTGTCCTGGAGTGGGTATACATTTGTTTGGTGGACTCTACTTTTGGTGCAAGACTTGGTCGGTTTCGTGCTTCCTGTAGAGTCCAGACTGACCCTGCTTCCTCAAGACCGTACCAGTAAGCTCTCCAATGTGCCATTTGTTTTCACTTTCAGTTCCTCCCCTAAAACTCTGCTCCCGTTACCGGAGAAGCACAGGGCATCTTCCCTTGAGATGCACCCTCTCATTCCTTCTTCAGCCAGCGCTCTCCCTCCGGGAACCAGGACCTGGGGACCGTCCAATTGGTGAGTAGAAATGCTTCTTCCACATCTCCCCTGGCTCTTCCCATTCCTGCTCTTTTTTTTATTCTTTAAAGGGGCAGCCATCTTTAATGTTGCTAGCACGGAGAAGGGCAGGTTAACTATTGCAGGCTCTGTTCACTGGCAGAAAGGCAAGCACACACAATGTAGTGTTCCCAGGTGGACGCCCGGCAGAGGAGCCACGTACATTTTCACAAAGGGTCGTGTGACACAAATATACAAATATTCTGACACTTAGTATTCTTTTTAATATTAAAGGTAAAAAGATAAAATTTCAAAACAAGAGAAGAGGGTAACAATGGTTAATACATTGCACATTGGTGTCTTTAAATCAGATAGTGATCCTGCTGCAGTTCATAACCCACACAGAAATGCAGTCCAGGTTTCCAACACTTGATCCTTAAATGTTTGCAAGGCCCTGTCAAGGGTCTGCAGGAGCGAGACATTTCCACAGGAAACACGTGCTCGGAGTGCACTTTAGCGCTGTTCACAACCCTGAGTGTAAACAAACCCGGTGTGGACAGGTAGGGAGATGAAATGTAACACAGCCACAGAACGGAGCAGGGTTTGACCATGAAAAGGAACGCTACCCTAGTACCTAATAGGTGCGACCCCAGGCTGACCCTTAACGTTAAACGAATGTGCCTAGACATCAATTGTTTAGGAAAAACAGCTTAAACATTACTGTTTAAGAGAAAAATGATAATTTCAAGACACAATAATAGGAGATTAAAAATGGTAAACATATTGTACGTTGTTGTCTTCAAAGCACTTGCTCAGATTACAAAGCCTTTTTTTTTTTTCCTCGTATCAGGAATCAAACTCAGCACCTTGTGCTTGCCAGGCAGGCGCTGTGCCATTGAGCTACATCCCCAGCCCTCAAAGACCACATGTTGTGTGATTAATATGAAATGTTGGCAATAAGTATGTTTCTTGTTATTATTGAATTTTTCTTTCCTTTTTTTTTTTTTTTTTTTTGAGGTAGGGTCTCTCATGTCAGTCAGGCTTGTTTTGAACTCATTCGTTATGTAGACCACACTGGCCTTGAACTTGCAGTGATCCTTCTGCCTCAGCCCCCTCACTGCTGGGATTGCAAGTGTGTGCCCTCACATCTGGCTCAAAATAAATATATAGAGAGTAGATTAGTCCTGGAATAGGGCTGGGTGGGTGTAGGAAACATAAGAAGCTACTGCTAATGAATACAACATTTCTTTGGGGAGTGATAAGTTTAAAATTGATTGTGGTGATGACTGCACAAGTCTACGACTATGTTCAGCTCTATTAATTAATAAATTTTAAATGGGTGACTTATAGTATGTTGATTATATCTCAATAAAGTTGTGATTTAAAAAGTAGGGAGTGACTCAAAGTGGGACATTCTAAGAGCAAATTTTATGTAAGTGTTGTGTCATCTTTCATTGACACATTGTTAGAATGAATATGATATCTGAATTAACACATCCCTTGCCCAACCCTTTAAGAAAAGATTTCATGCAGAAAATCTGGTCTTCATCTGATTTTAATGAGTGATGTAAGATGGGAATCCTTTTTTTTTTTTTTGGCCTTTTTTGAGACAGGTTCTCACTATGTAGTTAAGGCTGGCCTTGAACTCATGGCCTGGAACTCAAAGCAACTCTCCTGCCTCAGCCTTCTGAGTGTGGGGATTACAGGCATGTGCTAGCACACTCAGCTGAGAACCTTTAGAATTATCTAAGCCTACCCAACTATGTATTCAATAGGTAACAGTACAAGATATTTAGGAAACAGCCAAGAGATTCAGCCCTAATTAAGGATATAGTAGATGCAAATGTTCTAGTATGATGAACTGTTTATTAAAAAATATGGTAGAAGCTGGGGGTGATAGTGAACATCTGTGATCCCAGCGCTCTGGGAGGCTGAGGCAGGAGGATCACAGGTTCAAGGCTGGCCACATAGCAAGACCCTATCTCAAAAGTAAAAAGATTTAAAAGCCTGGGATGTAGCTCAATGAAAAGCCCTGTGTTCAACCCCCAGTTCAACCAAAAAACTCCAGGAGTCCAAAAAGGGTGTGACTGCCTCAGTCATTATTCTTTGGGAAATAAAGACTAAGAACAAAGACTCTGTTCTAAGCCTATTGAACTTTGTTGATGAAGAGAAAAATGGCAACAACCTAAGTGTCCTACCATGAAGATATTCAAAAGTACAAAAAGCTATGTATTTATCAATATAATGATGTTTTATAATTTTTGATTAGGTAAGTAGTTTATAAAATGAAATGCATAGCATCTATAGCCATAATTATGGGGCCTGTTGAGCTTGGGCACAGAGCACTACTGCTTGGAAAGTGGACACAGTGAGAACAATGTCGTTTTAAAAACGAGTAATTTCATCAAACCGTTGCTGTGGAGCACACGCTTTCCCTGCGCTTGTGCCTCCTTGACAGGGACGCTAACTCCTCCTGTTTCAGAAAATAAGCGCCCTGGACGAGGCGGAGGAGAGGATCTCCAGTTTGACTAGGCCTGGCCCCGGAAATGTGGGCGCTCCTGGGCGTGGATGCGGTGGCCTTCCTGAAGCTGCAGGAGGAGGAGCACAAGAGCGGGCGGATGAGCGAGGGCTGCAACCCCGGACGCGCAGCGAGGCTGCCAGCCGAGGACCTTCGCCACCTGCCACTGTACAGCTCCTGGACGCCGCGGGACATGGCAGCAGCGGGCTTTTACTGCACCGGGGTGAAGTCCAAGTCCTGGTTCAGTGCTTCTGCTGCAGCTTGGTCCTCTCCGGCTGCAGCTGCGGGAAGGTCCCCGTGGAGCATCGCAGGGAGTTCCGCCTGGGCTGCCCATTCCTGCTGGGCAGGGACGTGGGCAACATGGGCAAGTACGACGTGCGTGCGGGTGAAGACCCCAGGCGAGGAGCCGAGCGGTGGCCGAGCAGGTACCGCGAGCAGGAGGCCAGGCTCGCGTCCTTGAGGACTGGCCCTTCTGCGTCCACGCAGTGTCCCCGCGGGGCCTTGCAGCTTCCGGCTTCGTCTTTATAGGTAACCTGAATTCATCTCCTATAGGGCTTCTCCCCAAGTTTTAACTTGAGGTTCCATGCTTTGGTTGCTGTTGAGCTGCTTTGTGAATCCTTCATTGCTTGTTTAATGTGTTGTATTAGACAAAAATCCATCTTGTTAAAATTCTGCTTCAAGCAGAGTGTGGTGGTACAGGCCTGTAATCCGGCACTTGCAAGGCTGAAACAGGAGGATTGCCCAGAGTTTTAAGCCAGTCTGGGCTACACAGTGAGTTAAAAGCCAGCCTGGACTACATAGTGTGACCCTGACTCAATAAATAAATTAAAACAAGCAACCTCCCCCCCCCCAATTCCACTTCAGTAATTTTTCTTGATGTTTTGTGCACCTTGTGTTAATTCGTCAAAGCTATATAAAACCAGAAGACGATTTTTCCATATATAAGGGCCTTAGGTGACACAGACTGTGTTCTTTAGTCCCTGATGCTGTTCAATCCCAGTCTCCTCACGAATGAGGAGCTCTTCACTGCTCTCACACAAGCTTTCTTTGATTTTTAAAATTCCTACAGTTTTTGAAGTTTTTTTAAATCAATTTCTTTCTGTCTGTCTCTCTGTCTCTCTGTCTCTCTGTCTCTCTCTCTCTCTCTCTCTCTCTCTCTCTCTCTCTCTCTCGGTACAGGGGATCGAACACAATGTCACACTTGCCAGGCAGGTGCATGTCCTGGCGCCTGTGTGTTTGTCTTGGCCTCACCATGGATGGTGACAGGAGACCGAGGCTTCCTAAGAGCAACTATGGCTTACTGAGCGGCTGCTTCATGCGAGGCGTGGATGAACTCCAATTCTTTGTCAACCCATTTGCCCCTGTTTTTCCCAAGTCACAGTTGTTTTCATCAAGACTCAGAGACCTTTGAGTTTTTGTTTTCACCAAGAATCAAAAAAAGGGCCTGCATTTTACAGAATCAGCGTGGAGAAACCAACAGCGAGGGTTCGCAGCTGCGGAGCTCAGTGGACTGGATGTGGGCAGGCCGGGGCTCGCGGGGCGCAGCAGGGCTGACCAGGTGGCCGAGCGCTCCTGGAGGAACAGCACGCGGGGCAGCTGGGCCTGAGGAGAGCTGTCACCTCCGGGAGCCCCTCAGGGCCGCTGCTGGCCCCTGAGCCGCTGTCCTGTGTCCACAGGTCACAGGGACACCATGCAGTGCTTCTGCAGCGGATGCTTAGGACACTGGGAAGAAGGAGACGACCCCTGGCAGGGACATGCCAGGTGGTTTCCCAAGTAAGTGCTTGCGTGTTTTTCTGCTAACACTGGTCAGGTCTGCTGTTGTATTGTGCTTTTTTCCTTTGTTTGTGTCATTTTGCTTTGTTGGTTTTATCTGGCAGTGCTGGGGATTGAACCCCGGGGATGCTCTACCACTGAGCCTTTCATTGTATATTTTAATTTTGAGATAGGGCCTTACTAAGTTGCTGAGGCCAGGATCAAACTTGGAGTCCTCTAGCTTCAGCCTCCTCAGTAGCTGTGATTACAGGTGTGTAGAAACACACCCCTCTATGTTTTTTAGTTTTTATAGAGACAAAGACAAAGAACCTTGCTGAGTATCCACTTCAGGTTGAATTACTCCCTCTCCAAAATCGGACCACCCCACAATTATCCAGATAGAAGAGGCCTAGTTATACCATGAGAAGGTTGAAGTTTGTGACCCTAAACAGTTTTTGAACATTGTTTATTATGCCAAATACCAAGGTATGTTTTGCCAGGTAGAAGTTTCCATGATTCACCTTAATTAGGAAGATACTTTGCATAGGCCTAATGAACAGTGACTGAAAAGGAAGTTAGAAAGTAAGTGAAATGTGTAAGACACTACAGCTCGGCTGGACACGGTAGCACGTGTTAGGAAGCTGAGGCAGGAGGACTGCCAAAACTTTGAAGTCTGAGGCCAGTCTGGACTACATAGTGAGGTCAAGATCAGCCTGCACTATGTAGCAAGACCTGGTCTTAAGGAAAGAAAAAGAAAGAAAGAGAGAGAGAGAGAGAGAGAGAGAGAGAGAGAGAGAGAGAGAGAGAGAGAGAGAAGAAAGAAAAAAAGACAGGAGATTAAGAAAACACAAGACACCTAGAAAAGAGCTGGGACCTGGCTTCTCTGCCCCCACGAGGGGGCCAAAAGTGCAAAGTCTCAGTGTTTTGCTGAGAACACTGAAAGTGACACATTCTCAGAGCTGTGCTGTAGTTAACAGGGAGGAAACCAAGGCGGATACCTGCTGATATGTCACTGAGCTAGAAGACACCTTTTTTCCACGGTCTGCCTCTGGCATTCCAGGTTCCTGGGACTGGCTTCGCTCTAGTCCCAAGGAGTTCCCCGACCTCCAGCTCAGCCACTCAGCACAGAATTCATGCTCATGATTCCAAAGCACGCAGCACCTTCCATCAGTTCTCTGTACTAAGAGTGGCTGCTCCACTGTTCATCCCCAAAGTCTGTCCCCTCTGCAAGGTCTCTGCCTGAAGGGAGCAGGGAGGGCATGGCATGCCTTCCTAAGTACCCTGCTGGTCCTTGTCAGACCAGGTGCACCCTGAGATACCACAAGCCCTCTGGTGGAGAAATCATGGAGGTAGCAGACACACCAGAACAGGTCTGGACTGGAAAGTGCAGCTCCTACTTTAACAGACATTTTTTTTTTTTTTGTACTGGGAATTGAACTCAGGATCTTGTGCCACTGAGCTCTATCCCGGACCCTAACAAACATACTTGATTGGCCTACAAATCTTAATGGCTCACAATCTCCAGCCTTTGGAGAATGAGCACTCTGCCCTTGCTGCACGCACTGGCTACTCTTTTTGTGCGTGGCAGGCTTTCTCCAGGCCCCTTTCCCGAGTGTTCATCCTCTCCCCACACATTCTGTGTCTGACATCTTTAGGGTCCTGAATGCTCCAGGACCTCATAATTTTTGGCCAGACACAAAGTGGGGCTTTGCCCCAGCTGTTCAGAACTGCCAGGGTCCAAGTGTGGGAGGAAGATGATGGGTTCCAATTTGGGGTCTTGCAGAACCAAACACTGGCTTCCCTCCAAGAAATACAGTCCCACAAGGGGCTCAGTCCTGTGTCCAGGGAATAAATGCCGCAATGGTGTGGTAAGAGCAAGTGATTCTGCATGAAGTTGCTGATATGTGTTGCATTTGCTTATTATGTTTTTATTTCCCTGAGCTCCAGATCTGTTTTTTCTGATTTATTCATTAAATAATCCCAGGCTGGGGATATAGCTCAGTGGCATAAGCACCTGCCTGTCAAGTGGAAGGTCCTGAGTTTGATTCCTTGTACACCAGAAAACAAAACAAAACAAAACAAAAAAACCCAAAACAATACAGATTGCCAAAGAAATGCTAGGAACTCTCTTGGGCTCATGAGTTTTGTTAGAGTGAAGGATAGACAAAAATCTCTTCCCCATGGAGCGTCTCTTCTAGGTGCTGGCTGTAAATCTCTCCATTGCCTGGGTGGCAGGCAGGGAAAGAGTGTTTATTAAAACATACAGTATGGGACGCATTGGGTGACCATGCTGATGACACCATCCTGGACCAACAGCCTTACACAGCCCACTGTCTAATAAAGGCCTGGTGGTTGTGACCAGCATGTCATTCAATGAAGGCACGGGCCCCAAATACTAATCAGCTCTCCTTCTGTGCAGGGATGGAGGATGAGGTACAGTGCTTTTCCTGTGGAGGATGCATGAAAAACTGGCAGGAAGGGGATGGCCCCTTGGCAGATCATACCAAATACTTCCCCAGGTGAACACGGTGGCTGTCTAGGGCCCGTGACTTCATGCGTCCGCAATTTTGCTGTCACCCTGTTTTAGCTGTGAACCAAGTCTTACCCACTCCTGGGCTTCACTGTGCTGTGCTGTGAAGGGACCAAGGATGTTCCTGGACCCCGTCTTATCCAGCTGCCTCTCATCATAGCTCTGTCTGGGTTTCAGATAGATGGTTATTTTTTCGTTCATGTTAATGCTATTGTAACCACACCAGTGCTGTGAAGAGTTGAAGCTTGTAGTAAATGGTTACATGTCTTCCTGTCCATCTTTTTATTTTGTAGGAAATACACTTCTTTATTAACTACTTTAAAGTGCACAGTTCATTGGTGTTCACATTCGCAATGTTGTGCCTTATCCACTTAAGTCCAAACATTTTCATCACTCCAAAACAATTAGCCAGCTACTTCTTACCCTTCCACACCTGTCTGGGCCTACCTAGCCTGTAGCAGACACTAATCTGCTTCATGTCTCTGGACTGTCCCATACTGGATATTTCACATGAATGCAAGCATACAATATGATATTATATGTCTGGCTTCTTTCACTTAGTATTTTGTTTTGAGGCTTATCTCTCTCATAGCATATATCAGCATTTCATTCTTTTTGGTTGAATAATATTCCATATGAATACACTATATTTTGTTTCTCCACTCATTCATGGACATTTGGTTATTTCTTCCTTTTGGATATTGTGAATAGTGCTGATTACAAGTATCTGCTTAGGTACTTGTATTCAATGCTTTTGAGTATACAGTAGTGGAATTGCTTGGTTATAATGTTAATTCTGAGTTTAATGTTTTATGAAACTTTTCCACCATTTCAAGTTTTCACTAGAAAAGTATGAAGGTTCTAAATTCTTTATATCCTCATCAACAACTATTTCCTCTTCTTAGGTCTTTTTGCACTTAGCACTAATCATCTTCAAATCCTCCCAGATGTTTCAATGTCCTCTCAAATAAATCAACCTTTTTTTTAAAAACAGTCTCATAATGCCATTCACGTTGGCTTGAACTCACTGTGTAGCCCAGGCTGGCCTCCAATTCACAGTGATTCTCCTGCCTCAGCCCTGGAGTGCTGGGTTACAGGTGTGCGCCACCGCCCCTGGCCAGTCAAACTAGTGACTAGCCCACCATTGTCATCTTCTTGAGGAATCTTGAGCACTGCATGATGACCAGCCAGGCCCTTGTCATCCCTCCGGGTAGAGCCAGGTTTTTGTGTGACGTCCTCTTCCTTCTAACTGAAGCGCTTCCTTGAACATTACCGGTGGCACACTTCCGGTATGCTTCTGCTGGCAACTTACTTCATTGCTTTTGGGGGGATTGAACCCAGGGCTTTCGCACTGACCTACACCCCCAGCTATTTTCATGTTTTACTTTGACACGAGGTCTTGCTAGGTCACCCTGGCTGGGCTTGCATTTGTGTTTCTCCTGCCTCAACCACCCAGATTGCTGGGATTAGAGGTGTGCATCAACACACTTGCCTCTTTACTGGCTTTTATTTTTAGGAAAAGGTTTTTATTGTACTTTCTCTCATAGTCCTTTTACTTGATGGGACTTCACAGGGCTGACCGTGGACAGAAACATGAGGGGTCCTACTTTTTGCTTTCTGTACCTAAGGCTCTATTCCGGTATGCCTCTCCAGGGCCTGACTTTTCACGTGGCCTTTTTTAGATGTGGGAAATAGGTTTCTCCAACAAAGCAAAGAAAACAGAAGGGAAGTGTACTCGTGCTTCAGCCCCTGCTCTGTGATTCTCCGGGTCGTTCCCTGTCACCATCCCTGCTCACCTCTGTACTCCCTGTCTGCGTGAACAGTGACTTCTGGATCCTCATGCAGACCACATCCCTGAGTTTAGAGGAAACTTGTGTCCTGATTTTGTGGTGTCTGGCAGATAGTTTCAGGGAGTATGTTTGTAGCCATTCTTCGGTTTTGATATTGATGGAGTTGTCAAAAATTAACTCTTAGCTTGAGCATAGCTTAGACTTATAGAAAAAGTACAATACTTTCTGTATATGACCTTGCCTAGTTTCCTCCAGTGCCAATATTATACTACCATGGTACATTTCTCTAAATTAAGAGTTACTACCTGGGTGTGGTGGCACATGCCTGTAATCCCAGCACTCGGGAGGCTGAGGCAGGAGGATCACTGTGAGTTCGTGGCCACCCTGGGCTACATAAATGAGTTGCAGGCCAGCTACATAGTGAGACCCTGTCTTTTAAAGAAAAAAAATCTATATTACTAATAATTAAATTCCCGACCTTGTGTTGTGCCAGTTTTTCCACTAATGCCCTGTTTTGTTCCAGGGTGCACAGATGGAGTCTTCTCTATTTTTGCTTCTTTAGTTCATTATGGCAGGCTTCCTGGATGAGAGTTACACACACACTCCTTCATCAGCCCTGGGCAGCATCACCCCATATCACAGCCCCACACACTCCTGTTGCTCAGAGCCACATCTAAACACCCTGTGTGACACTGACACTGACAGAGTCACTGAAAATGCTGGCTTTAGACCTCCTGGTTGTCATGAAAACTCTAATAGTGTTGTATAGTGCAAGTGTTTAATTGCATACATTTTTATACTTTTTTAACTTCCATGTTTAGTTGTCCATCTCTCCAAAATATGAAGTCCTATGCAGAAGTGATTCGCGACCTCAAGGGCTGTGGTGAACTCCTGAGATAATGGTATGTGACTGGGTGATTGAAAACTGCTTTGAACAGGAATCACTCGGTGTAAGTAAGTAAACACATAAATTCTCCAGATATCTACCAAGCATCTTCTGTGTACGAAGTGCAGCTGGGGTTACCATGAAGTACCAGGAAGATGTGATTCCTGGCTTCCTGAATGAGTGCTCAGGGCATTTGGCATTGAGGTCTGGACATTTAGAATTGAACAGCATCAGGCTACACCCGTCTTTGATGTTTATTTAGAGGCCAGTAAAGTCAAACTTCCTCTTTGGCCTTTTTCAGGGCTGAGAAGATGTATCTTTAATAAATTATGAATGATTTAGGGATGAGAGTGTGCAGTATATGTACTATTGTTGTCCCCTGATTGATGTTTTGAAATTTTGTTATAGTTTTCCTCCTCTTTTCTTCTTTCCTCTTCCTCCTCCTTCTTCTTCCTCTTCTCTTTCTTTTTATTCTCAAGCAAAATGGATTTTAAAAAAATAAAAAAATAGTAAAAGGAAATGACCAGATACTAGACTGACCCCTTTAAACTGAGAAATCCTAACAGTTCTCTGAGATTTCAGCCACTATCAATTTGATAAATATATGCACGCCACCCTATTTTAAGGCTGTGTGGTAGATATGTTTGTCATCCAAAACAAGAGAACAAACACCATTCTCTTCACTTGGTGCATCTTTTATATTTGTGAATTTTAGAAATCCATCGGAGTTAGGTATGGCAGCAGACATGTAATTTCAGCTATTTAGGAGCTGAGTTGAGAGGATCAAGGGTTTGACAACACACTGGGCAATTCAGCAAGGCCCTGTTTCAAAGTGAGAGAAAAGGATAGGGCTGTATGCTGGTGGTACAGCAAGCACTTTCTCAGTATGTTTGAGGCCCTGAGTTCCATCCATTATGGCAAACAAAACAAGACATACTGTAGCAGTCACTTTTCCATCATTAGGACAAAATTCTTGACCCCTACAGTTTAGACAAGGGGAGATTCATTTTCAGTCACAGTTTCAGTGGGTTCCATGCATGTTCTGCTGGCTCCAAGGCAGAAGTGGCACGTCAGCAGGCATAGTGGGGCATGCCTGTAATCCTAGCACTCAGGAACCTGAGGCAGGAGGATCACTGTGAGTTGAAGACCAGCCTGCACTGCATAGTGAGTTCAAGGCCAGCCTGAACTACACCTGTCTCATAATACAAAAAGCAAACACAACAACAAAAGAATACACCTTTTGGGTATGTCACCAGGGACCTGCTCCCCCCCCCCAGCCAGGCCCACCTCTGAACATGAGACTGGTGGGAGGCATTTTAGATCCAAACCACAGCACACCAACACCTAATCTTTAAAAAGCGATATGGAGATCGTTAGTGGGTCCTAAGTGGCGGCTGGTTTTTATGACACTGTGAGATGTGCCTCTCTCAGCCCTCATCCTCTATGCCTGTGCATTACATATCCGACATAAAAAAGAGAAAAGGATGACATGGAAGAAGAAAGTGTGGGGCATGTAAACAGCTTAGTGTTTAAAGGAGAAAACACAACTTTTCTGCATCCCAGGTGTGTGATAACAAGCATATGGCAGAAAACTAAGGAAACAGGGTACTTAACTCACAGTACTTCTTTGATTACCCAGAAAGTCTCCAAGTGCGGAGAAGTATCACGGTCTTTCTACTAGGCAGCAAGCAGAGATGCAGCCCAGACAGTGAAATCTTAGAAAGATGTTTTGACAGATCCCAGATGCCAACAATAGATGAGTACTATGCTTCAGCCTTTGAGACTCTGGAGCAATGGGAGCAGGACTCGGTGCTGAAAGAGGAGAACATCCGGAGTTAGTGGGGGCTCCAGCTGCAGCCTCCGCTAGTTCTCTCCCGGTTACTGGCGGCTCTCCCCCAGGCCGCAGGAGCTCCCGCTGCTGCAGCTGCGTGCCGCCCAGCAGGGCGACGCCAGTCCTGCAGTGCTGGAGGCGCTCATGTTGCCTTCGCCGCCGCCCAGCACGTTGAGCTCTGCGTGGAGGAGAGCAGCGGCTTCCTGGAGAGCATCTGGCTGGCGCTGGAGCCCAGCAGGGCCGCGGTCACCAAGGTCACCCTGCGCATGGGGGAGCTGCTGAGCGCTGCGGAGCGGGAGCTGCTGCTCGCCCTGCCCGCACTGGAGTCCCTGGCCATCTCAGGCTCAGCCAGGTTCTCAGGTAGCCCGGCTGCCTTCCGGAGCACGCTCCTGCTGGCCATTCTACTTTCTCAGGCTTAGCTTTGGGTGATGTGTGCCTCTAAAGCCATAAGCCCCTAAATCCTCTTTGATAGCAGAGATACAAACTTTCACTCATTTGGGGGCTAGCAGTATAAATGAATGACAGGCCCCTGAATAATAGAATGGTTTTCAAATAACTCAGATTATTTGAACATGAGCATCTTCTGGTTAATAAAATTAACAAAACATGGATGTCAATATTTAATTGAAAATATTTCATTAAGGACCCTTAGTAAGCAGATATAAATTACTTTTCTAAATTACTTGTTAGTAAATAATGACCTATTTGTAGATGATGCTTGAAAACTTCTCCTGTCCCAGCTGACTAATGAAAAAAGGGCGTGGCTTCCTCAAGAGACAATGTGTCTCATTTATTTATTTATTTTTTATTTCTCTTTTGTTGTTATTATTATTTTTTGAGAGGGTCATGTAACCCAGGCTGGCCTTGAATTCGCAATGATCCTCTTGCCTCAGCCTCCTAACTGCTTGGGTTACAGGCACGCACCTGTAATTTGATAGTTTTCAATATCAACTTTCCCCAACTTTTTTTTTTTTTTTTTTGGTATCTAGGATGGAACTCACTACCGCACCCTTGCTAGGCAGGCGCTCATGCCGTGAGCTAAATCCCTGGCCCAATATTCCCCTTCTTTCATTAAATTTATTCCTAGGTACCAGTGGGATTTTTAAAAACAATACTGTAAATGATATTTTATTTTAGTTTTATATATTTATTTATTTGTCTTTTTGAGACAGGGTCTTGCTATGCAGTTCAGGTTGGCCTTGAATTCACTTTGGAGCCAAAGCTGGTCTAGAACTCACAATGATCCTCTTGCCTCAGCCTCCCAGTGCTGAGATCACAGGCATGCACCACCACACCACACAGGATATTTAAATTTTTTTACCTTCTAATTGTTAATTAATTTTGATTTTCAATAGTTGTTTTGAGATGGGATCTTCCTAAACTGCCTTGGCTAGGCTTGAATTTGGTGATCCTCCTGCCTCAGCCTCCCAGAATGATGGGATTACAGGCATGTACCACCAGGCCTGCCTCACTGTAGCTTTGTTTAGTTTTTTGTACTGAGAATCAAACTTACAACCTCATGCTTGCTAGGCAGGTGCTTGTGCCACTGAGCTACATCCCCAGCCCCTCACTATAGTTTTGATTTGTCTTTCCCTGCTGACTGAATGATGTAGAATATCTTTTCATATATAAGTTGTTTTGGAGAAATGTCTATTCAAATGTCATTGTTAAGACATCTTTTGCTATTGACACTGTTATGTAGTATTTCTTTATATATTGTGGTTGTTAAACCCTTATCACACCTATATTTGAAAAGTGTTTTCTCTCATTCTGTTACTCTCTTTCTCCCTCTGACTTCATACCTTCTTACCTTCCTCTGTCTCTTTTTCTTCTGCTTTTGTTTTTGGTACTGGGGTCACTCTATAGTGGCCTCTAAGGTGCAAGGTTTTTTTTTTTAACTTAATTAATTAATTTATTTAGAGACAGTGTCTCACTATGCAGCTCAGGTTGGCCTTGAGCTCATTTTGTAGCCCAGGCTGGTCTTGAACTCACAACAGTCTCCCTGCCTCAGCCTCCTGAGTGCTGTGATTACAGGCATATACCACCATGCCAGGCCTTTTTTTTTTTTTTTTTTTTTTTTCTGTCTTTTTGAGACAGGGTCTCACTATGGAGCCCAGGCTGGCCTGGAACTTGCAACAGTCCCCCTGCCTCAGCTTCTTGAGTGCTAGGATTACAGGCATGTGCCACCACACTTGGCAAGTTTTTAATTTTGATATAGTTTAATTTATCATTTTTTCTTTGCTAGTGCTTTTGATGTTATATGCAAGGTCATGAGGATTTGCCCCTGTGTTTTCTTCTAAGAGTTGAATGGTTTTAGCTCTTTTGATCACTGATGCATTTTAAGTTAGATATGAGTTAGGGTAGGAAGTCCAATTTGATTTTTTTTGCCATGGAAATCCTGTTGTTCCTACACTGTTGGTGGGGGAGATATCTTACTTATGTTTGTGAGTACAGAGAGTAACACAGGGCTTCCCAGATGGTACATACTTGGTGAGTGCTACAGACAATTCTTTGTATATATCCTTACTAAAATGAATGTTTTCCAGGGCATGTTAGCACACACCTATAATCTCAGCACTCAGGAGGCTGAGGCAGGAGGATCTCTGTGATTTCATAGCCAGTCTGGCTTTTATATAGTGAGTTCAAGTCCAGCCTGAACTGTGCAACAAGATCTTGTCTCCAAAAATAAAAAATTAAAAAAAAGAGTTGCATGGTGTCTGGTGGTCTTCACCTGACAATGTGAAAGTAGTTGTCGGGTCAAAATGATAGTTTCAGATTTTCCACTTGGAAATTGTTAGGTCAATAATGGAAAACCATGCTTCTCTGCAGACCAAATCTTCACTAACCTGGACAAGTTCCCATGCCTGAGAGAACTGTCGGTGAATCTGGATAGCACTCTGGATATTTTTTCTCTCTTTCCTGATGAATTCCCAAACCGCCATCATATGGAGAAATTACTAATCCAAGTTTCAGCTGGGTGTGATGCTTCCAAACTAGGTAAGGATGGCACTTGGATTTATTTGTTTTTGCATTAGTTGGAAAAGTTACATGACCAGTGATTTTTGTTTTTTATTTTTGAGACAGCATCTCTCTATGTGGTACCAAAAAAAAAAAAAAATAAAGAAGAACTTGTGTGGGGTCTGAGGGTTTAGTCTGTCCCCATGGATACTGTGGGCACAGCACTCTCTCCTTACAAAGCATTCTAAGTGCTTCCCAAATCCTAACTTCCTCTCCACATCAGATCGTTGATACTTCACAGGGATTGAAACACAAAGAAGCTAAGTAATTTACTCAATTCACCCAGCTAAGCAAACCTCAACCTGAGTCTGAGCGCTCAGCCTCTGGGGTCAGCTTCTGTGTGAGTGGCTGCTGCATGTGTCTCCCAGAGCTGTGAAGGGCAGCATGGAAGCTGCTGGCCAGGCTGGAGCTGCCATCGTGGGCAGGTGCCTGCTTGCAAAGTCCCTTGTTTAGCACAACCATCAGCACCTCACTCTAGGAAACCCTAAACACCAGACAGAAGTGGACCCTCAAGTCACGACTGGCTTCACATACAACAATTCGGGTTATGACCAGAATTTTGGTTTTAACTTAACAACCAGTCTTGGGTTAGGGTCCGAATGCCGGATGCTTGTGCTTCCAGATACAGATTTAACCTTTAAGGCATTCTGGAAGGAACATCACAACATCCTTTCCCGTATGGGCTTCGACTGAGAAATCCTGGGTCAGCATCTTTCTAAGGACTGAAATCCACCTTTGTACAGGACAGAGACTTTGAAGGCTGTGCAGGAGGCTGAGCCTTTGACTGACAGCCTGTGTTACAACCAGCCCTTGGAATGCTTTGAGTTCCTAAGTCATAGGTCCACTCTGTATCAAGCTTTATGAAATCACATGCAAAACATTTGCTGATGGTGATATATTGGAAGTGGTAATTTCCCTGTATTGGTTGGGGTTTGGGGGGGTTATTTGTTTGTTTGTGAGATTTTTAGTTTTTTTGAGACAAAGTCTCACTATGGGCTTCAGTATGTCCCAGGCTGGCCTTGAACTCACAGCAATCCTCCTGCCTCAACCTCCTGAGTGCTGTGATTACAGATGTCAGTATTTTTACATCAAGCGAGGCTTTGCTTCAGTGCCATTCCTTGTGTGTTTGTGTAGTGTTTGTATTGTGTACATGCAGTACAGACATAGACATTAAAAGGTGATGGCTGAAGGGGACCCTCCTGAGCCCTTATCTTACAGATAGGAAAACTGATTCCTGGAGAGTCAGTAACCACATTGCCCCACCCCACACCCATCAGTGCAGATCCTACCTGAAACCCAAGTGGCCCAAGTCTTGGGTCTCTGTGTCAGGCTGCCTTGTTTGAAGTCAGTATTGTTGGAACAGGAAGTCATAAAGAATGAGGCCAATTTGGATAGAAACTTACAGTTTTCTCTAATTTCTGAAAAATCTTTGATATTTTAGTCAAATTGATTCAGAATTCTCCAAACCTTTGTGTTTTCCATCTGAAGTGCAATTTTTATCCGGGTTTTCAGTCTCTCATAACCACACTGGCTTCCTGCAAGAAACTCAGTGAAATTAGATTTTCTGGATCCTTTTTTGATGCTGTCCCATTTGGTAAGAATTATAATTTTGTACTTTTTTTGTGGGTAGTGAGGATTGAACTCTGGACCTCATGCAACCTCTCTGTGGACAAAATCATACTGAGCACAATGAACAAGAGCCCAAAAAAAATTTTTTTTGAAACAAGGTCTGGCTATGTAGTTCAGACTGGCCTGGACGCACTGGGTAGCTCAAAAGTGGCCTTGAATTCACAGTGATCCTCCAGCCTCAGCCTCCTGAGAGCTGGGATTACAGATATGTGCCAGTACACCTCGCTGTTTATAATTTTAAACATTTCTAGCTTCTAGGATTATTTTCTGAGTAAAGATTTGGTTTATCTACTTAGTCAAATTAATTCAGTTTGAATTAGTATATTGTTTCGGGTTCTTTTTGTTTTTTGAGACAGGGCTTCACTGTGCAATTCAGGCTGGCCTGAAACTCACTGTGTGGCCCAGACTGATCTCGAATTTGAGACCAGCCTCCCTCAGCCACAGCCACAGCTCCTGCCTCAGCCCCTGGAGTGCTGGAATGCCAGGCGTGCCACCTCTCCTGGCCTTAGTACTATATTTTAATTTTGATCATTTAAAAATACTACTTATAAGAAATGTAACTGACATAACTAAATTTTTATTTCCTCTTTTGTAGTCATTATTCTGCCAAATTTTATTTTTTTGAAGATGTTAAACCTGGAACACCAGCGATTTCCTAATGAGACAGCTGAAAAATTTGGTATGTTTTCAAATCGGCGCTTCCTACTTTTTGTTGACTTCCTTCCGCGAAGTCCTTTGCCTGCCGCTTGACTTAGCCACAGTGAAGCGAGTATGGGCAGGCCTCAGGCAGCGCCCATGGGTGCTGGTTCTGGGACCCTTGACTGACCGCAGTAGGAGGGCACTCGGGTGCCTGGTGTGAAATCAGTTTAGTGTTTGCATGCTACCTGCGCGCATCTTCCTTTGTGTTTTACGTGGTTTCTGGACTCCTTGCATCACCTACTACAGTATGAATGCGATGCAAGCATTTGTCCTACTGTATCGTTCAGGAGACAGTGACAAGGCACACGGGCTGAGGGCCCATTGCGGATGCAGGCCTGTGCGGGGTCTGGCTCTGCGGTGCAGACTGCAGCCTACTTGGCTCCTAGCGCCTCTGCAGGAAGCAGTGGGTCTGCGGTTTCCACACAGTTATCTGGCTTGGTCCTAGGGTCCTCAGAGTGGAGTTTTGTTTTTGTTTTTTGTGGTTTTTTTTGGTCTTTTTTGAGCCGGGGTGTTGCTATGCAGTTCAGGCTGGCCTTGAGCTCACTTTGTAGCCCAGGCTGGTCTCGAACTTGTAGTGATCCTCCCACCTCAGCCTCCCGAGTGCTGGGATTACAGGCGGAAGCCACCAGCCTAGACTCAGAGTGGGTTCTACAGCGACTTCTGCTCACTGTGGACCCGGCTCACAGCCCTGTGCAGTTTGATTAAGTGTCAGTGAAGTCCTCCCTGTCTCCAGGAGTTCCAGAGTGCCAGTAGGCACGAGCTTGCCAATGCGCGTCGGCCGGGAGGGGGCGCAGGCGGCCACCGCCTTGGGCGGACAGTGGGGCGGGCGCTGGGCCAGCAGCACCGGGAGAGAGCAGCGTGTGCCCCTCTCCACAGCTGGCGCCTTGGGTTCGCTCGCGAACCTGGAAGAGCTGGTCCTTCTGACTGGGGACGAGATTCATCAGGTGGCGAAACGGATCATCCAGCAGTGCCAGCGGCTTCCGTGCCTTCCAGCCCTCTCCTTTTTCAAGATTCTGAACGATGACAGCGTGGCAGAAATCTGTAAGCTCCCTTAGTGCTCCGGCTGGCAGGAAGCCCGGCGCCTGGCCATCCCGGCTGCACCCAGCACGAGGAAGCCTGCCTTTAGGGGTCACTCAAGCCTGCAAGCCTCATGCGTGCACATGGCGCGGTGCTGCGCTCACATTCAGGGCGGCCTGCAGCCAGTGCTCCTCACGTCTGTGTCAGACACGCGCGCGGCTGAGCCTCTTCCAAGTGCCTGTTTCAGCTGGATATTAATATACTTACAGAAGGACAGAAGTCTTCAGTATGCCACTTAGTGAACTGTACTGAAGTCTTGAATATTTTGTGTGGCCAGGTTAGAATATGGGACGTCGCCAGCCTCCTTCCAGCTTCCAGTGTGACAGTGCCGCCCGCTCCTTGCGGGAGATGGCCGAGGTCTTGCTTTCTTCCACTACACATTAGTTTTGCCTATTTAAAAATCCTACATAAAGGAATCCTACACAATATGTACGCTTTTGCATCTTGTTTTTGATCATTATGTTTGTGCTATTACAGAGCTCACTGATTTTTCATTACCAAAAATCATGCTGTGACTATATACATGCTACAGCTTGTCCACCCAGTTTATTCTAGTACTTGGCTACTATGAGTAGTGCTTTTAGCTGGGCATGGTGGCATGTGCCTATAATCCCAGCACAGTGAGAGGTGGAGGCAGGAGGATCAAAGTCTAGGAAACTTAGCAACTTAGTAAGACTCTGTCTCAAAATAAAAGTGAAGAATGAAAGAAAAATTTGGGACGTAGCTCAGTGTGATGCCCTGGGTTGAATTTGTTAATAGTAATAGTATTACACCCTGCAACATGAACGTTCATGATCTTTGATGTACATATTTAGGAGTTTCTATGGTAGGAGTTCCTGAGGAACTCGGATAAACTCTCAGTTTTCCACAGAGTTTACAGCAATTTACACGCTGACTAGCAGTCATTTCATACCCTGGCTCTATTTGTTACTTGTCAGTTCTTCAAATTTTATGACCATAGCTCCTTATAGATTTTCTGTTGGTATGTTCTTGTTGTGTGATAGGTACTGTTTGGCGCATACATTTTGCTAGAAAGTACTTTTATTTAAAGTTGTTAAGGCAGGAGGCATGATCTGAGGAGGCCTGGGCTACATAGTGAGACCCTGTCTCAAAAAAAACCCCACACAGACAAGAAAACTCTAAAGAAAGCTGAGTATGATGGTGCACACCTGTAATCCAGCACTGTTGGCTACATAGTGGGTTCAAGGCCAATCTGAACTACGTAGTGAGACTCTGTCTCCAAATAAATAAATAAATGAATAAATAAATTAAAATAGAATAGTACACTGAGCACCTCCTACTTTATTTATAATAGTGGTAGCAGAAGTTGAGTCAAATAACTTTGTCTACTGTTATTGAAATAAAAGTCCTCAGGATCATGTTTTCATGAATGTTTTGTTTCTATAGCCAACATAGCAATCAGTGGAGGTATCCAGAAACTCGAGGACCTAAATCTTTCAGTGAATCACGAGATTACCCAGGATGGGTACAGGAATTCCTTTTAAGCCCTGGATAACCTGCCCAACTTGAGAGAGCTGAATATCTCCAGACACTTCACTGACTGTTTCGCAGTCCAGGCCAGCACGGTCAAGGGCCTTGGCCAGTGTGTGTCCTGCCTGCCCAAGCCTGCTCCAGTTACACATACTGGGTTGGCTCCTGGATGCAGAAGATGTTACGCTGCTTGATGCTGTGAAAGAAAGACACCCTCAGTCCATGCGTTTGCAGATTTTCTGGAAATGGAGATTGCCATTCCCTTCAGTCATCCAGACATGAAACCTTCAGGTGGGGTGAGCTGGCGCATCCCTGTAACCCAGCACTCCAGACCTGAGGCAGAGGACTTTCAGTCCAAGGGGACCCTGGCACAGTGATAACTTGTCTCAGGTGAAATAAAGACTGTCTCTCAATAAATTTATTCTGTTCTAAAAAAATAGCTTCTATGATGAATATGATCATTATATACATCTAAAGTGTACCAATAAACTTAATTTAAAGAGGGAAAGAAAAAAAAGACAGTAAAAACTGCTGAATCAACAATTCTAGAAATGTAATTTATCAAACACATTTTAGTAACTACTGCGACAAAAGACTATGTGATATACATAATGATCAAATTCACCATAGGGAATTTGTACTTGTATGTGATATATTTTGATTCTTGTTTTTTTCCTGCAAACCCCTCTCCCTTCCCTTCTAGTAAGACTGAACCATAAAACTGCTAGAAGCAAACATAGGAAGAAAGCTCTCTCTCACTGGCTTTGGCAGTGATTTTTTGCATATGATACCAAAAGCACAGGTAACAAAAGCAAATGTGTACAGGTGGAACTGCATCAAATTAAAATGTTTATGCATCGCAAAAGAAAATAAAGACAGCCTACACCATGAGAGAAAATATTTCAAACCATCTACCTAAGAAAGGGCTAACATGTAAATGGTTGGTTGTATCGACAGAAGAAGTTTAAAAATTTAACTAAATGGGCTCAGCAATTCTATGCCCCGGGCTGTAGAAGCTCTGCCTCAGGGTGACTCATTTACCGCACGGGTCGAGGGGACCCACCCTAGAGCTGCTCATGGCCTGGACAATACAGAGGGCACATGAAGAAAGCAGGCTTGCTTCTGTTTCTTGGAGGAGCTCCAGTCTCAGCCTTCAGAGCACACTGACTCCTGGATCCCAGTGTAGACTTCAGCTGCATTACTGTTCAGCCTCCCATCGCAGACCCAGTGGCCTCCTGAGATGGACTGGCACAGGACACTGCAGTGATCTCCAGATCCTGGTGAATCCTGCAGTCTCCAGCGTGCAGACACCCTCTGCACACTTCCTCATCCAGTCCTGTGGGTGACCATCATAAGCTTACCTTGTGATTTCCTATCCAATTGTATATCTTGTGTTTCTCTAGTCTGTTTCTCTAGTAAAATAGATACAATATGCAAAATATGTAGGAAATTCATGCAAGTCAAAAAAATGTGAAAGACATACAAAGATGTTCATTATCAGTAATCAGCAGATAAATTCTTCTTTTTATTTACTTTATTTTTTTGTACCAGGAATCAAACTCACTACCTCATGCTTGCCAGGCAGGCACTGTGCCACTGAGCTGTATCCCCAGCCCTATAGCAGGTAAATTCTAATCAAAACTACATGAAGTATCACCTCACACCTGTTATCAGAAAGTCAACAAACAAAAATAGCATGTATTAGTGAGGGTGCAGAGAAATGGGAATTTTGCCTTTTATACTGTGGGCAAGGAAATAGTTTGGTACAGCCACGATGGGAAACAGCATGGTTTCCTGGCAGAAGCAGTACTGGGCCGCAAGGCCCAGGGTCTCCAGAGGGTCTGCCCCACGGCCCAAGCCGCAGGGCCTCACTGTGCCAAGCAGGCCAAGGCTGCAAAAGCTTTTTAATATGATGAGATCCCAGTATTGATTCTTTGTATTATTTTCTTGATAGCAGGGTTCTGTTTATGAAGTCTTTGCCCACACCTATGTCTTCAAGTGTTCAGCCCATTTTTTTTTTTTAAAGATTTAGTGTTTCTGTTTTAGTATTTAGATCTTTGCTCCATTTTGATTTCAGTTTAGTGCACGGTGATAGACACAGGTCTAGCTTTAGTCTTTGGCATGTGGAAAGCCAGTTTCTCCAGCACTATGCTACTAAAATAGCTTTCTGTTGTTTTACTGTTCTGGGGACTGACCCAGAGCCTTCTCATGAGCTACATTCTCATGAGCATCATTGTTCTGAGACAGGGTTGCCCAGCCCCCAAGCTCAGTCCCCCAAGCTTTCTTCTTTCCTCCTCCTCCAACTTTTTCTTCTTCTGCTTCTCCTTTTCTTCTCTTTCTCCTCCTTTTTCTTTTTTCTTTTTGTTTGAGACGGGCTCTCACCATGTAGCCCATTAAGTCTGAGTGATCTGTCTGCTTCAGCCCCCGGGTGCACCCGCCTAGCCTTGCCTCAGTGGTTTTCTAAGCGCCACCTGTGACCTGCACACTGCTGTTTCTCTATCATCCTCCCGTCTTGTGGGGCCCAGTGAACAAGGGCTCCCACTGCTCGCACTCCCCCCTCCTCTCAGCTACTCACCTGCACAGGCCATCCAGCCTGTTGTCCTTGCACCTCCCCAAATAGTGTCCCTCTGTGACCCCTAACAGCTAGGAGAATCCCGGGGCCCCCCTGACAGCTTCTTTTCAGTTAAGGTTATTGGTACAGTTTAGGCATACACAGTGATCCCGCTCACCATGGGGATTTAGCATCTGTCTATAATATACCTTGATTTCTCTTTTTTCCCTTCCCATTTCCCTCCCCTTCCTTTAACCTTGGTTCCCCTTCCTTATTTGCAAAATTGTTTCCATGTTATCCTTCTTTCCTCATTTTTACCTTTCTTTTTTTTTTTTTTTTTTTTTTTTTTTTTTGTCTTTTTGCGACAGGATCTTGAGCTATGCAGTTCAGGCTGGCCGTGGGCTCACTTTGTAGCCCAGGCTGGTCTCGAATTTGCAAATGATTCTTCTGTCTCATCCTCCCTAGTGCTGGGATGACAGCCCAGTCCACTTGAGAGGTGCTAACTCCAGTCACCTTAGGGGCTCCACCATCGGGGTCCATCGTCCTCTGCAGCCGGGTCCATCCTGACTGCATTCCTCCTGGCTCCTGAGGACCATGGCTCCCGAGGGGAGCAGGGAACTGCTGCTTCCACTCCAGCTCCAGTGCGACCCCTCGCTCCGTCCCTTCAGTTGCTTGGCCAGGACTTTGAAGTCTCTCTTGGCTCTGTCTCCCAGCAGCACAGAGAACCTGGGGCAACCCCCACAGTGCTCCTGGCACAGTACTGCCACAGCGGCGACCTTAAGTCCCAGCCCACCAGCGCCTCCGCTAGGAGCCCCTGCTGCGGGCGGGCCTGGCGCACTGTGCTGCTCTAGATCCCTGCTCTGCAAGCTGAGGCCGCTGCACACCGGCTCTGTGATGCGATGGGTGTCACAACACTACACCCTCAAATCTAGCCCCGCTCTGCGGCACTGACAGGCATGGAAGCAATCTGCTCAGGTGTTTAGAGCCGCAGCATCTGGGGAATGACCAGGGTAGACATGGTCATTGGGTGGGGCTCCCATTAATTAATCCCAGTTCAGTCACAAGAGCTAGAGACCAAAAGACCCATGCTCACCCCCCTCTCCAGGAACGTGATGTCCTGCTCATTACCACGTCACAGGCAAGGAGACTTGTAGCTTGGCATAACTGACGCCATCTTGAGCTCTGCATTTAACTAGTGCCCTGTATTTCATGCAAGAAAATGGAAAATTACCTAGAGTACTATCCCAAAGCAAAATGAGCCGCACCTACCAGAGAAAAATGAACTTGCTCAACAAAGAAGCAGGATACAGGTGTCAACCAAAAATTAATGTAAGATCTAGCTAGATTGTTTCCAACACAATGTCTTTTTGTGGTTCTCTGTTTTAAAAGCTTTGTAACTTTCCAGTTCAGGGCCACCTGGTAGGACTCTGAAACAGGGATCTCTACATGAGAGGTGGCTGAGCTCAGCTAATGAAATCCCAAATTTATCAATTTGGCTGCTTAGATTCCTATATTGTTCACGAACCTACTTCAAGGACCATCATGGCGAGACTGGGACACTCAACCCTGTGCGCCTCCTGCACTGCCAGCTAGAACAAACCTCTTTCCTTTGTAGCTCACCTAGGCTGTTATTTCTTTTTTTTTTAATTTAAAGAGAAAAAAAGAAAGGACATTAAAAAACCAAAGCAGTAAAAGGGTACAAAGTAATACAGAATTTCAAGAAAAAAAATATACAGTAAGAAATCACCAGTTAATAGGTTACATATTATCTTCCTAGAAACAGTTGTCCAAATTACAAAATTAAGGCATATAAAGTGGACATTCATACAGTGATATTGGAGACAGTTCCGTTCAATGATCCAACAAAAGCTCAGTAATATGGTTTTCCATCCTACACACTCAAACATACCACTGCGGTTATATCCCTTAGTCCACCTTTCTTTCCTCTCTTTTTTACAGTAACAATTAGACTTTTTGGGTTTTATTACTCCCACAGTTCTTATTACTTTTTTTGAAGAGAATAAAACCAAATGTGACTAAGCAAAACAGAGTCAGTTAGAACAGAAGGGTGGGCATAGTACATGATGCAAAAATAGAATACCAGGTGATCAAAAGTGCCTTTTGCTATTTTTAAATTGAGTTGCCTATATCATCAGGTATAATAGAATTGATCAAAACAGTACAGAACAAGACCAATAAAACCTACACTGGAGACCTTACAGGACTTCAAAAAAAGGATAATAGTCAAACCATAATGGGCATCATAGTATATCTTATTAGGCTGTTATTTCTTTGAGTCAGTCTCACTAGTTACCCAGGCTGGGTCTGAACTTGTGATCTTCCTGCTCAGCCTCTAAAGGGTGGGAATTTCAGGCATGTGCTACCACACCCCTCTCTGATGGATATTTTTACTGGCAACAGAAAATGGCTTAGTTTACCCTTCTATTTGCACCTAGAACAACAGCTAGCAAATAGACAAAGTTAAATATGTATTTCCTGGAATTAATGAGCTTCCTGAACCTATACTGCAGTTTGAATATATGAGATATTAAGGAAGGAAAATTCAAAATATCCCAGATGGCAAACTGGTCCTATTTATAATTAAATTTAACCTGCCACATACTTAAAACAATTAAAATGTGAGCACACAGAACATTGGCCAACAGTCATAAAAAACAAAATGTATAAGAAAACTTAAATCACAAAACATCTCACTTTGCAAAGCTTACTTACTAAGCATTTAATATTCATTTACTTAACAATGATATACTAGACAGCTAACATGGTAGGCACGTAGTGGGGGCTTAATCAACTTCATTTACCTTAACTGGGCATGCTGGCACACACCTGGAATTCTAGCATTCTTGGATCCTGAGGCAGGAGAAACACAAGTTTGAGCCCAGCCTAGGCAACTTAGGGAGACACTGTCATACACACATATATATGGACTAGGGATGTAGCTCAATGTGAAGTAGCTCAAACAAACAAAAAAAAATACCACTGTATGTGTGGTGATGCACACTTGTAACCCAGCACTCAGGAGGCTGAGACAGGAGGATTATCAAGAGTTTGAAGCTAGCCTGGGCTACATAGTGAGAAGACCTGTCTCAGAGAACAAACAACATTCAAGCAAAAACATCATTTTGCTTAGCAAAAACCTCACTAGAATAGCATTTATCACATTAAGCTCTTTGTAGATAGTGAATTGGACCAGGGAGAATGCTTGGGGCCCCAATTCTTAAACAAAACTCCAGCAATAACCATAGAAGATGGTACAGAACCGAGAGATCCTCACAGTACCCTAAGGGGGGAAAAAAAAGTGGCTTCAAAATTGTAAAATGTCCACAGACGATCAAAGTGCTAAAATCCATATCTCCTAACTGGAAGGCCAGTTCAAGATCTTGAGCTGCCAATGCTGCCACAACTGCCCTCCATATACATTGCCTGTCTTGTGCCACGCACAGCCTGCTGGTACACCTGCCTGGACCAAAAAAGTATTTTCTGCCTTTGGTTGGCTGCTGGCAGCCAGCCCCTCTTTGCCTGTAAATGGAAAGACCCCAGTTCTAGATGCAAAAGTCAACTGACCTGGGGTCAGTGTCCCAGAGGTTCAAACCCCTTTTACCCTCTTTGGAGAAGCCCTCACAGCTGACCTCACTAGTTTCCCAGCACAAACATCCCTGCACTTCTGGTTAATGACACCCGAGCTGTATGTTAGAAAGACACAAAAGCTCTGCTGCAGTATCTTGACAGACACCAGTTACAAGAAACTACACGAATTTCTCAGAGCTGCTGGCTTCTATAGAATCTGGATCCTTGAATTCACAGAGACAATGATGCTTACTCAGCTTGTGAGCCCCTGGAAGAGGCCAGTGGCCTACCTGTGCAAAT